TGCAGGATGATGGACTGCATAGCTAAAAAAGCTTTCCATATTCCTCTGCTCCATCTACAGGTCATAATGCAGCGTGAATGTAAAAGTTGGATGTTCGCAGGCAAACATTTTAGAAATACACCCCATAGTGTGGGGTTAATTTTGCACCAATATTATAGTAACATGGTTTTTTAAACAAGAAGCATGGAGATATACCCCAAGTGTACCCAGATAGATGCTAACCTTCTGGTCCACACAAACTTAGGTCACTAATGCAGGAGTTTTTGGAACTTCCGAAGTACAGGAGAGTAACTCCTTTTTGCTCATTAAGAACAATACCATGATTGACTGTTCCTTCTACAATATCTGGGGAAAGAAGAAAATATTTTAGTACAAAAATGTCTTTGTTCTCAATTCACACCAAACACAAGTTCAATAACATACTCTAATATAAACTCTTAGATCATACACTCTGCATTCAAAATACACAAGTTTAATTGAATTTAACACACAATGATGAGTACATTTTTAATTACACTATAATCAGCCAAAATTCAACCTAACAATTTTGGATTTCAACATGTTCAGCAGAGGACTCCACATGTGTATTGCATTAATATGTATCCATATTTGAGTTCTTTATCTGTTTGCCAAATATTCATTTGTTTTTCTTTTAGGTCCTATAAATGCAAATACTGCACCTTCAGGGTTTGTAATATCCCTTTCCTGTTATGTCTTTCCTGTGGAGTGTATTCTTCAAGGGTAAATTTCTGGCATCAAAATTATCTGTACATGTGCAGCAATATTTTACCCTATTAGCCTAAATGGCAAACTCTACAGCACTAGAGAAGGATATGCTTGGTTCTACTCGCTACCTCATTCATGCAACCTTCACTACAGTTCACCTTCTGTGTCCAGCTGAAAATGTAAAATAGTGGTCTTTATTATTGGTGGTCTGCATATTGGTGATGCACAGCTCAAAATGAACTAAAGTTGAAAAAAATTGCATGGGGAGTTTTTTCGGTAGAAGAGACTTTGTTTGTATCTTCTGCCAAAAACGAATTTTCCTTTCTCCTAGAGTTTTTGTTAGTGATGTATATTTGAAATGACACATGCATTTGTTCACTACTAGGCTCGAAGTCTCTGATAATCAGACAACTAAACAATATATTTTTTTTAAATCCCCTGTTTACAAACTCAAAAAATCATAATCATAAAGGAAAGGGTAAAGCAGAAAAATATATAAAGTAGTAGGATTATCCAAGAAACTGCTCCCCACATTCCATTGCATTTATTGTACAAAAGGACACAATATAAAAACCATGGTACAATCCCATAAAATAGTGCCTCTCCACATATTGCATACCCTAGCTATATGTAAATATCACAATATAAAAAATGGTACGGTGTTCATATCTCATAAACATAAAAAAATGGATCAGTGGCTTGTATAATTGGATAATAAATAGTAAAGAAAACACTGCAATTCTTTGCAGAATCAATTGCACCAAGTAATCTGCAGTCCTTTTCAGAATGGATAATTGTATTAGCTCATATATGATAAATGATTAGGGTGTAAACCCTTTTGATGAAAATAAATGTTCCTCTTGACTGCAGATATTTTTGATATTACTATCTTGTTGTTAATGGTTATGGCAGACATACTTCACAGGTACCTGCCAAATGGTATCCAATAGGTTTAATATTCATCGTTGTTTTCATCTACTTAGCAGGTAACTGCAAAATCTACAATGAAAAAGGTGATGTTTTCTAATTATGCACTTTGGAGCACCACTATCTTGAAACTTGACTACACAGTTTATCTATATAAATTCAGCAACAGGCCTTGCATCAAACAATACCAGTCGTGCTCTTAAAGTGACATTAAACCCTCAGATTTTTTAACATAAAACAATACTGTAATGTGTGCCTTACTGTAATCCATGGTTGTTTCCCTTCTCTTTGCTGCTCTTCCTTTTAAATCTGTATCTCTTCTCATGCTGGGCAGAACTTCTGTTTTGCACCAGACTGCCTTGTCTCTGAAATGGATACATGGTGTGTGTGTGTAAGTTTGCAACCTGAGCCAGCACTACAGGAAGAGGCACTCAGCTGCAAAGGGAAGTTCTTCCCAAGCATGAGAATACATGAGGATTTAAAAAGAAGAGCAGCAAAGAGAAGGGAAACTACCATGGATTACAGTAAGGCACACATTACAGTATTGGTTTATGTTAAAAAATCTGAGGGTTTAATGTCACTTTAATAGTCAATTCTCCCATGCAATATCATATGTGTTAAAACCGGTAAAGCATGTTATGCAGCAAGTAGTAGTCTTTCATTGGTTCTCCAGTTCCATTGCTATTGGATAAGGCAAACTTACTGAGCAGGTACCTGCTAATTAGTATTCAATCAATTGTAATATAGTATAATGGATTTAACGTCTGCAGAGACAGTGCCACAGTCTAATAAAAACCTTGCAGTGGTAATGATTAACTATAAAATAAACTGTACAATTGTCCATGAAATTTCAGCCACCAGACAGTTATGCTGTTAATGTGAAATGATGAATGTTTATAAAGCATACTATATATTGATCTATAAAATTGCATCAGATGGCACGTATAGCAGAAACTCCTGGAACACATTTTGTTACTGCTTGTCATCAAAGTGATACCCACACATGTAAGAGATAAACATCAGTTGGTAAAGGTCAGTGTGTAAAGGCCACAATCAAATGCAACCCAACAGTAATTATATATACTCATCTGTGCACCAAATTCCTAATTCTGGGTGTGGATTGGATGGAAGTGCAGCAGTAGAACACAGAAGCTAGCACCGGACTGGATTTGCGGGTCTCAACCGTCTGTGTAAGAAATAAGGCTCTGCTTGTTCTTAAGAGGTGGTGCAGGGATCCCTGCAGCAGTATTTCATGTGAATGAACCATGGTTTTTATATTTTATACCCTTCTGCACAATAAATTATATATTAGAATGTGAGAAACACTTTCTTGGATAATACTACTTTGTTTTCTTTATATAATTTTTCTGCTTGACCATTTTCTTTACTATTATGATAAAATGGAGACTGCCACATTTTTTTCTCTTGGGTTTTTCTCATAAACAGGGCATTTTTAAAATATTTTGTTACATTTATAAGAGGCCAAGTTCACCTTTAACTACTACAATTTAACTGTGTTTCACCAATAAGCTGACCTGAAATACTCAAGACCACTGTATTACCTTTCCTTTATTTTGAACTATTCTTCAAAGAATAGCAGAGAAGCAGGTGCAAAGCTTTGACTAATTCCATTATCCTCTTGGTATATTGCAGGACTTGAAGGATGTATTTGAGCTCCGTGGACATCCACCTGGCTCTAGGTTACTCGAGGATGTCTTGGGGATAATCTGTCTACACTTATGACTATGCTTATAAAAGGAACAATAACCCATATGATTATTTTATTATGACCTTATTTCAGTTTTTCAGTTGAACACAACCTGCATTTAGCAAGTATTTCTTTTAAAGGGCTACCCCCACTCTGCAAGAGTTTAGTGCTGGTTTTTATCTAGGTTCAAAAATAACAGTTATACTTACTTGATGCTCCAAGCCGGCCAGCTGTTACAGCGCTCTCTCCAGCCTCTCTCTTCCACTCCAGCGTTTTTATCTTCCTCAGCGTCCTCATGTCCTATACAGTATATAGAACATGATAATTTACAGGAACTTAGGCTGGGTTCACACCTAGGCGTACCGCGATTTGCGGTAAAAAAAAACACGCGACAAACGCGCATTTCCGAGGGCTATCCGGCTGTATCCTAATGGATACGCGAGGCAAATATGCCCCAAAGAAGCTCCTGTACTTCTTTGGGTGTAGGGCGTTTTACAGCGCGTTCCTACACGCTGTAAAATGCCCAGGTGGGAACCATGCCCATAGGCAATCCTTGGTTTTCACATGTTGAGCGTTTTATAGCGCGTAGGAACGCGCTGTAAAACGCCCAGGTGTGAACCAGGCCTTAGACTGCTGCAGAGGAGGAGGAGAGAGGAACCGGTCTAAGAATTGGCCTGCTCAGAGGATCGGGTAAATATAACTTTTGTTTTTAACTCAGACTGTAGTTCTTTAAAGAAAAAGATAAAAAGCTAACCTTCAATCACTCTCTTATGTGTCCCTGTTCCTGGAGCCTCCTGAGATATCTACATTACATATCTCAGAAGGCTGCAGGAGCGGGGAACAGAGCAGCCAGAGGGCAGACACAGAGGCAGGTCAAGGTGGGGGGGCTGACTGGCTGACAGCTCACAATGACCGAGGGGAGGAAGACAGTGATGTGGCACTCAACCAGTGTCGGCAGAGCAGTGGCTCCCAACAGAACAACACTCTAACCACCAGGTGGATATGTATGTTTTTTTCAAGAGAACCCAGCTTCACAGGTAAGGGGGGATCAAAAAAGATAGAACAGGGGATGGGGAGTTCCTCTTTAACTACAGCTTAATCTGGGTATGAATGGAAGCCAGTCTTCCTAGGTGTAGTGTACATGTGAGGTAGAGAGCTCCTATAAGGGAGAACAAAATGTGCATTTTCTGGAGAGAACTGCTATGTGTACTTGTGTGTGTATGTATGTGTGTATGTGTGTGACAAGGAGAATATATCCTACACAAGTCCACAATGAGCTGTGTTGCCTGGCATAAATCATAGAGGGGAATGCAGTGACATTTTAAAATTGTGTATTGTAAAAATAGCCATCTGGTAATGCTAGCATCACCTGTAATGCATACACTATAAGGTCAATGACAGAAGTGAAATATATCAAGAGTAATGACAGTGGAAAAACAAGCAAAATCAAGTCTTACATCAAAAATAACTGCGTTGGTTTTTTTTTGCTGAAAATCTATAACCAAGTTCTAAAAATGACTTCATATTTTTAAAAGATGTTAACATGATGACATCTTTTTGTATCTGCATTAGGAAAATTGCAGCTAAAATACAAGTTGCTTTCAGTGACAAAGAACACTTCTCCCTCTCATTAAACCTCTTGGCCGTAACACAAAAAAAGAAAGGTCATAAGGTTCTTAAGTCAGTGTTGATTAAAAAAAAACACTAGACTTGATGGAAAAAAAAATCATGTTTCGTTTCCAGAGATCTGCTACACACTCTTATAAGCATACAAAGAGTGGGCAGGGGATATACATTGTCAGACTACTTAGATATTGACAATAAAGAGAAGATGCACAATCTACACACTGCAAACACATGTATTGCAAAGAGCAACTCTGTAGTAATAGACATAAAACTGTCTGGCACAGTTATATTACATAGCTTTTCAATCTTTAAGCCACCATTGTAAAAAGTACACACACAGTAATTTGTAGTCAGCTTT